CCCCCCCAAAAAAAATTAAAAAAGACATTTTTTTTTTTAAAAAAAATTTGAAAAAAAAATTGGCAACCCCTAATATCATATATTTTAGAACTCCTTAATTTTAAAGATTATAAAAATGATTAATGAATAATTTGAGGAAATAAGTGAAAAGATGATTTTGTCTATGGTAGTGTGCAAAAAATTCAAAACAACATTTATTTCATGCTTTTAATATAGTAAGATATAAATTATACATATGTATTACTCTCTTTTTTAAAGGAGAAAAAAAATGATGCACTGGATAATCCTCAGAATCACAAGATGCAAGTTTGACGGATAATTTGTTATGGATTTAGATCCAATTAAAAACAGATAGTAAGTTCCTAGCTAATGAAATGCTAAAGCTTTTACACCATAGATAGTTTTTAGACAATGCACATTGCGATGGCGGATGGAAATATGAAGAATTTATGTAATGATATGGTAATTAACATATTTTTGCGAATTCCAGTGAAATCTCTCATACGATTCAAATGCATTTCCAAAATTTTGTACGATCTCATACAATCATCTGTCTTCATTAATCTTCAAAGCAACCGCACCATCATAAAAGATGAACTAATTCTTTTGAAACGTTCCATTAAAGTAGCACCAAGAGAATATAATAATGTCTTGTCTTTCCTTTCCAGTCATGATGATAATATTAATGATCTAAAGCCTGTTTATCCAGATCTATATATACCGCGTTTAACTTCCAGGCATGGTCATCTTTGTTATGAAACTGTTGGTCCTTGTAATGGTTTGGTTGCTTTAACAGATTTCGATGCCATTGTCCTATTTAATCCTGCCACAAGAAATTACAGGGCACTTCCACCGAGCCCTTTTAAATGTAAAGTACGTTTTCATCGTTCCATGAATGGTGGTCTTGGATTTGGCTATGACTGGATAGCTAATGACTACAAGTTTGTTAAGATTTCAGAAATTTTCAGAGATCCTCCTCAATGGCATCCGAACGAGGACAGGGAGAAAACAGTTGAAATTTATGATTTAAACATAGGTTCATGGAGAGTATTCAATTATGATACTGAAGAGTTCCCCGGTGTTCATTGGTTCCCTTGTTTCGAGATACTTTATAAGGGAGCCTATCATTGGTGTGCATATGCTGAAACAAAGATAATTCTTTGTTTCGATATGACTACTGAAATTTTTCGCCCTATTAAGATGCCACATACTTGTCACTCCTATGACGCAAAACGTTATAGTCTTGTAGTTCTTAATGAGTCCTTAACATTGATTTGTTATGCTGGTAAACAGACAGAGCCTGATCCGATTAGAGATTTGACAGATATTTGGATGATGAAAGAGTATGGTGTATATGAATCTTGGATTAAGAAATACACAATTAAGCCTCTTTATATTGAAGCACCATTACTACTTTTGAAGGATCATTTGTTGCTTCTTCAAAGCACTAGTGGACTTGTTATGTCCAATGATCTCACTTCAGATAAATTGGAGGAAGTCAATTTATTTAGTAGTGCTCATAGTTTTAGAATGATCATTTACAAGGAATGCTTGACTCCAGTTCCAAAAGTGGAAGAGACAGTAGAATACAACTCCATGATATTGGAGAAGGTATATCTCTTCAACTTTAACTTGATGAATTAGCACCTAATTTTCAACATAGTTGTGTTCTTGAAGATTCTACCACTTTTTTCTCTCGTGTCAGGTAACCTGTCTCTATTTTTTCAGTTATCACCTAGATTTATCGTAAATCCCACTTTACCCGCTTAGAGCCTGTTTGCATTACTGCTGAAAATGGTTTATTTTAGAAATAACTTTTTAAAATAGGTTTTAGAAAAGTTCTTTTGAAAAACATATTAATTTGTATTTGGCTAATTCATTTGAAAAGTGTTTTCAATAATCAAATTGCCTTTGACTGATCTATATTAAAAATTGTTTTTGAGAGTAAAAAATTTTAAGTTTATTTTTAAAAAATATTTTCAATTTCAACAATTATTTTCTACTATCTAGTAAAAAATAAAAGATTTTTAATTCATAAATCAAACACTAAAAAATATTTTCCGAAAAATATTTTCTACTCACCAACCAAACATAAGAAAATAAGTCAAAAATCCACTTGTTTTCCAGAAAAACATTTGCCAGAGAAAACATTTTCCTCCATATCAAACACACCCTTAATGTGGAATGACACTAGTTGAGCTTAGTTTTTCTACCTTCAATCGAAAAGTCATTTTTTCTTATTTTTAGGAAAAAAATTCCTAGAAAAAATATTTTACCAATAAAACATAAAAAAGTTGAAAAGTATTTTCTGAAAAATATTTTCCTCTTACTAAAATCAAAACCTTTTATATACAATTCCTCTTATTTTGTGTAAATTATTGTCGTACTGTTTACAGTATCTATCTGCTATTTTTTTATTTATCAAGACACAATATGAAAAAGGTAGTTAAACTGCCGCAAGGAAGCAAACCTTTCCTTGGATAATTGTGCAATGCTATGTCTTGTTTATTTATTTTTTTTACTTTTGTCTAAATGCTATATCTTCTTAATGATATTGCTTCTTATTTGCATAGTTTACGTGCATAATATATAAATCTGCTCTTTAACATAACTTCAATGGTTATATATGTTCTTTTTAACTTTGAGTGTGCATAAGTAGACACTTAAACTTGTATAAAATTATTTAAGTAGACACACATGTCCTATATGACATCTTATGTGGCAATTCACATCCTATATGGCGTCCTACTTGTTGAATTTTTATACAAGTTTAAATGTTTACTTGCGCACACTCAAAATTAAAGGACACACACGTCAATTAAAGTCAAGTTAAAGGGTACATCTATGCATTATGTCTAATATAAATGATTCTACTTACACATTTTTGTATGTCTTATGATTCCAGTGGAGAAAATCAGAAGATTGATTTGGTGATCAAGGAATGCAATGCCACACAGAAGTATTTTAAGAAAAAACAACCAAGTCGATTGTTTGCATAATGGAAATTACTAAACATGTTTAATTGGATCATATTTTTCTTTAAGCAGATTTTGACATTTCTTTTTTTTTTCCTTTTCTTTTTTTGGTTTATTGTGCAAGGACAACCAATTGAAAAAAAATAAAATATAAGTAGTTCTGACTAGGGCGGACACACTAAAAGTAAAAAAAATCCTTTGATCTTTGATTGGCTTCTCTAAGGTAACACATGGAATTCTTTCAATTATATTGTTGTAGGATTGTGATTCAGATCTTGATTGACGTATAACAAGATGTATAAACAAGCAAAACAATGGGTATATACGAAATCAATGCGAGTTGCTCTTTACCTATGCTGCAAAGTCACCATCGATTTTGATTTTTTCCACCAAATGTTCTGTCTGGACACTGGTCAGCCACCCCAGGTGACTAGCTAGAATAACATTTATGAATTTCCACCTCTCCTACAGCAAAAAAGAGCCCTTAAGTTCTAACTCTCATGTTGTAAAACCTAATTTACCTACCATTCCTATTTGATTTGCCTAACGAAACTACTGATAAAGAAATAATTATTGATCAATATGTGAATATTGTTGTAACACCTCGATCTTAGAAAGAGCTACTTCTAGAAAGAACTAAATTGGAAAGTGCCAATTTGAGATTTGTCCAAGTTATGTTGAAGTTGTGAGTTTTGGGTCAACTTCAAATGACCATAACTTTCAGTACAAGATGAGTTAGGTGGACCATAAGATATCAAATAAAAGGTCTTTGATCCTCTTTCCAACGCCACCGAGTTTGCTAAATTCCAAGTTCGGATGAGGGAGATATGCCCGTTTAAGTTCAACCTGTCCAATTAAGGAAATTTACACAAATTAATGAGGGGTATTTTGATCTTTTCCTTACCCCATCAGCTTTAAACGTTCTAGTAATATTTTAGAGGTTTAAACTGATTTGGGTTAGTTTTCACAATTCTAAAATACGCTTAGGGTTTTAGAGAGAAGTTCAAGAGGAGAAAGAAAGGAAACGATTCAAGCGCTCAAGGGTTTCTTGCAATCTTCGAGGGGTCAAGACAGCGATGGATAGGATACTTGGCGCATTGCCAACCTAGTCGGCGATGCTCGACTAATACCGTTGATCGGTCCAAAAGCTGAAAATCTGGAAAAGTATAAATGCGATTTTTAAAAGATTTTTTAGGAGTTCTTCCAGAGTTCTTTCAGTTTCGAAAGTTGAGATACATTCTAACTCTGGGTTTTGATCCAAAGACTTTTCTTAGTAGTTTTTTAGTAGAGTTTCGAATTGGATTTTGATTTTAATTTAATTCCAAGCATTGTGAAGACTAGAATTTTCTTACCCAGCTGATGGGGAATCTAGTTGGTAATATTTTCTTGCTTTCTATAATGTGTGGCTAAAACCTTCATTCTTTGGGGTGTGATCATGTAATTAATTGTCTCAATTAGCTTATGGGTGTTATTGTTTACTGATTTAAATGTTGATTTGAAGTGGGTTTGATTGATGGTTGTGTATTAACCCATGAATTGTAGTTGCAAATGCAATTCTAACTTAGTATTCTAGCCTTTCTTGAGAAAGAGGTTCTAGAATTACTATATTGTAGTGATTGAATTATCGTTGATTCAGTTCGAGAGAATGAATCCGAATTCGATCCTACCAATCTAGCTCGAGATAGTAGATTAATTGATGCATTGGGCTATTTATATTGTTATGTTTGTTGAGGTTTGAGAGAACTCACATGAATCGTGTTAGTTGATCGAGAGATGGCTATCACATGTAAAACCTAGTCTACCCACTAAGATTCAGCGTCCTTTAGTAAATTATAATCACCCATATAGTGAAATTAGCCTTTAATCGATCACATCCCCTAGAATTCCTCTCTACTTGATTGCTACCCTATTTTTGTAGTTGTTAATTGTCACTCTAAACCCCACATATGACATTTATTGTCAACCTCTTCAATTTACTTTAATAGCTACGATAATGTTTACTTCTACAACGACTAGAACGCACCTTTTACTTCATAATTGAATTCCATTATGTATCACTCCCTGTGGAATCGACCCCAACTCTTCGTTGGGTTTATACTAGATTGTGATCGCCTACACTTAGAATTGGATGAAGTGTAGTTGAGCGCTATCAATAGCATCCCGAAACTCAGCATTAGTGACCTCTTCTTGGGGTTGTACTTCTGGTCCATTGGGAACCCATTGAGCCTGGGGATCAACAGTCCTCCTAATAGGAAGACCTCAGACATCTCTTCTTGGAGGCATGATTTGAAAGATACGTGCAAGCACGAATTAGAAAGAAAATTTATAGAGTTGAACTATATTGCATGAAAAGAATATGAAAGAAGTGAGATAGTTCCTAAATGTTGTAACCTCCTAATTATAGATGTGGCTCGCTTCACACCGATAATTAAGACTCTACAACCATGACTTCATAGACACCCTATGACTCTTGAAAACCTAGCTCTGATAATAAGTTTGTCACACCCCAGCCTATACCCTGATCGTGGCCGGCACTCGAGAACCATTGCTGGCCCTAAGCGAACCCTTAGCCTCACTCAATACTCAACGAAGACTTACTCAACAACATTTGAACTCAATTGCAAAGATTTAACTCAACTGTCTCAAATAAATAACTCAGAATATATAAGGATATTCAACTAGCCAGAAATAGGCAACTCAAGTCTTTAAAACATTTAACAAAAGAAATGAAAAAGACTCCTCAAAACACTACTATCTATTAAGCCTCTAATGACAATGATGGAAGTCGAGACGAGACCCACGACATCATCCTTAAACATTATTCTATTAAACATATTATGAATTGTGATCACCAAAGCATGAGTAGCTAAATCTATAACTAGAGTTGTAGGAACCATGAGAAATTAAAAAAGTAGAACTAATAATTAAGTAATTCTTGAATAGTGTTTATGCATGTATTGTTGATCTCTTCGTTTTGAATGCTTTTTAATGGTGCGCAACGTTACAACTTGCCTTATTCCTACTTGCCCAACCAAGGAAGTAACAAATAGGAAAAGAGATTAAACAACAGAGATTTAGCGTTGATAATCCGCTATCTAATAGCCTAACCTACATATTCAAGGGATAAACTGGGGTCAAGGGTAAAGATTAGTAAAGCATACACATGTAGACCGACCAAGTTGCATGGTGAAATTCTCTACTAAGACGACCAATCATTTAGGAGATACTTAACTTACCAACTATGCATATCAAACACTAGATAATGGTTACTATTATGAGGTTTATTGCATTAAGACCTTGTGGGGAACACATATGGCCTAGTTTCATCATATATTAATCTTACAAAACTTGAATCTTGTTTACTTGGTTACTTGTTACTTAAATTAATCAATAAATATTTTGTGTTACAAAACCCCATTTTTATGGAGCTAATCTGACTAAAAGTACAATCAACAGTAAATTGGCCTAAGTCTAGACCATATTTCTGGTGGGATCAACCCTAACCTCTGTCAGATTTTTTATTTGACAACGATCGTTTATACTTCGTTAGGAAAGTGTAATTTGGGTGTATCACTTGTTCAGGCAGTGGCTTGACTAGTATAACTTGGTGGATCTGTGCTTTAAAGGTTGAAAGTTACTTGGTCTAATAAAAGGTACAAAAATAGATGTAACCTTATCCTTGAAAGACTAGATAGGTGCCTCGTCAACAACTACTGGATCTTGAAGTACCCCAGATCTCTGTCACCCACCTACCTGGGATTAAGTCTGACCACTACCCATTTCAAGTCAAACTTT